ACGAGCAGGTAGTTGTTGTGATAATTTGGTGGCGGTCAATTGCAGGTGCTGTTTTCTTGTACTTTAATATATGTGTTGATGACAGACAAAACAGGACAGAATTTTTGCGTACTGTGCTTTGTTTCTGGTCTCATCTTATACATATTATAGGCATTGAGAATGGAAAATGCCAGGAAGATGGGAAAAAAGAGTTTTATGTACCAACTTTAAACTCTTGCTGAACACAATCCCCAGCCACACCCCCCTTGGCATACCACATTTGTCCATGAACACATGTTGAAGGTTGTAATCAATAACAGCTGCAGGTTTTAGAATGGGTTCATTGCTCTCTCTATGCTGCTGCCACTGTTGCCTTTTCTTTAGGGTAAAACTGATGGGAAACAGTGTGACATCTCGTTTGGTCATGCCACCGAAAATGCCATGTTGTCATTGGCAGCAAACAATGCACCTCACCTTACGAGTGCCAGCGTCAAACCTGGCATATGTTTATTTGAACGCACTGTGCCACACACATTGTCATGTTCACTAGCAAAAAAATCATGAGTGAGGGGCTTGTGTTACCAGTTATCTGTATATAATATATGCCCCTACCAAGGTATGGCTTCTATGTCATTGTTCTAACCCCCCATTCCTGAGGTGCCCAATAAACTTCCTGTTATTTTGCAATGTATAATTCCAGTGTACACAATAATATCCAATACCAGGACCACTGTAAACAACACAAAAGCACAAACAATTTATACCAAAGCATTTCCTCTTGCTTGGGGTTATGTACTGTTGAATGAAAGAGAGTCTTCCTTTGAACAGAATCAAAAGACTCGTCAAGTACAAGCTTCTGAAGGGATAAAAATGCGTACTGAAATTTCTTATCAGTTACACAAAACATTCTATTCTTAGATAAACCTTTTGTTTCTGTCAGGCTGTTTTGGTCTGAGAAGTGAAGCTACGTAACATTAGCACAAATCGATCACTGGCATTATATCACTGAAATGGGGTTGGTTGCAATCAGGCGGTCTGTTGACAGTATGAATTCACTGTGCTTATACACATGTGGCTTAAAGCGTTTATTGTGGCAAGAAAAAGATCCCTTCAGCCACAGTTGCTCCTTCCATGTGTAGACGTGATTTTGGTGGCAAGTAATGTGTTTGCCACGTGTACTCGTAGTATGTGGTTTGCTTTCCGATGACAATACTTTCTTCAGTGGGGCTTCGTCCCCCCAAAATAATAACTCGAAACATTCCAGTTCAGTGGCATTGTTCCCCAGTGTACAAGATGCCGTATTCCACTTTGGCTGTCATCAAACTGGTGGGCCTTGGAAACAAAATTGCAGCTTACTAGCCAATCCCAGGTGCGGTCTGTGTGGGTACTGGGACAATGACAGGTGGTTGTGAGGTTGTGGAGGTGGTGTGGTGGGTGGGGTGGGGGATGGTGGCCCTTTGTTGTAGATCAAGCTGAGGCAGCGTGCTGTGGGTGGCAGCAGGCCCACTGCTGGTGCCTCACGCCGCACCACTACCACCACGCACATTTTCCAATCCCATTGCAACGTTCAATCTGTCATTTTCATGTCTGTTCTGTGTACAGCCACGGGATGATATCGAGATGCACTCCTTCCCTGGAATAGCATATGGCTCATACCAGAGCGCTTATATCGTCGTATATACTGACGCTTCACTGGGGAATATTGCACTTCACTATCACTACTGGAGCTAGTTTGAAGAGCTTGTAGTTCATATTCACTATCACTATCATCACCCATGCTCTCATCTGAGTCTGGGATTTGGGAAAATAGAAGTTTCCTCTTGGATTCTGGTACAAGTGAACATGAACAAGACGGCCCATCACCAGAGGTGGAAGGCTGAGGGTCGTCTGGGTTTTCCTCACTATTACCGATATTATGGTCATTAGTTTCAGTCAAAACCTCACCAAAACCTTGAAACTCATCTTCATTGGCACTTCCATCTGTATTAGAACTGTCACTGTGGAACAAAAGTGTCCCAATTCGCCGAGGAGTGAGGAGCTTCTTACCGCGAGGCATGGTGGATATTGTTTACTAAGATGCTGTTCCCACAATGCACCACTGGGTCCCAGATTTTTTTTCTACCGTGCACACCGACCACACAGACCCATTCTCTCACATATAGGCCTACCAGCCTTTTCCCGCGAGATTTGACGACACTAGAATTTGTGCGTACTAGTACGTCAAAAAACCCTGCGCGTAAGACGTACTAGTACGTCTGAAACCCTCAAAGGGTTAATGCCACAAGGACCAGCTTGAGAGTCACTGGACCTCTGTTGCACAACATATCTGTCCATAGAGGCCTGTACCTCCCATTCCTTTATGACTTTCCTAAAGTGTTTCACAACATTGTCAGTGTAATAGTCAACAGCACGGCTTGCAATAGCTGTGTGAGGGTGATTTTCATCAAAAAAGGTTTGCACTTCAAGCTACTTTGCACACATTTCCTTGATCTTTGAAGTAGGCAACTTCCTTAATTTCTCTCTCCCCTCCTCCGGAGCAGTTTCCTCAGGTCTGGCCTCTTGGTGTTGAAGATGATCTTGCAGCTCATCAGTGGTTAGTTCATCATTGTCCTCCTCCACCAACTCTTCCACATCCTCCCCACTAACCTCCAACCCCAAGGATTTTCCCAATGCCACAATTGATTCCATAACTGGCATAGGCTTCTCAGGGTTAGCCTCAAATCCTTCAAAATTCCTTTGTCTACACATTCTGGATACAGTTTCTTCCAAGCAGAGTTCAAGGTCCTCTTAGTCACTTCCTCCCAAGCCTTACCTATAATGTTTACACAATTGAGGATGCTAAAGTGATCTTTCCAAAACTTTCTTATAGTCAATCGAATGTCTGTGGTCACTACAAAGCACTTTTGAAACATAGCTTTTGTGTTGAGTTTTTTGAAGTTTGAAATGACCTGCTGGTACATGTGCTGCAGAAGAGGAGTGGTATTAGGAGGCAAAAACTTGACCTTAATGAAGCTCATGTTCCCAGAAAGTCGCTCCGCCATGTCTGAAGGATGACCAGGAGCATTGTCTAATACTAGGAGGCACTTAAGGACCAATTTATTTTCCAGGAGGTAATTTTTCACAGTGGGGGCAAATGCATGGTGTAACCAGTCATAGAAAAGGTTTCTAGTGACGCATGCCTTACTGTTTGCCCTCCACAGCACACACAAATTAGCCTTGAGGACTTTGTTTTTCCTGAACAATCTGGGAGTTTCAGAGTGATACACCAATAAAGGTTTCACTTTGCAATCACCACTAGCATTGGCACACATCAACAGAGTAAGCCTGTCTTTCATAGGCTTATGTCCTGGGAGTGCCTTTTCCTCCTGACTAATGTAGGTCCTGCTTGGCATTTTCTTCCAAAACAGGCCTGTTTTATCGCAATTAAACACTTGTTCAGGTTTAAATTTTTCACTGTGTATGTAATCCTTGAATTCCTTCACATATTTTTCAGCTGCTTTTTGGTCTGAACTGACAGCCTCACCATGCCTTATCACACTATGTATGCCACTACGATTCTTAAATCTCTCAAACCAACCTTTGCTGGCCTTAAATTCACTCACATCACCACTAGTTGCAGGCATTTTTCTAATTAAATCCTCATGCAACTTCCTAGCCTTTTCACATATGGTCGCTTGAGAGATGCTGTCTCCTGCTATCTGTTTTTCGTTTATCCACATCAATAACAGTCTCTCAACATCTTCTATCACTTGCGATCTCTTATTCGAAAACGAAGTTGCACCTTTGGCAAGAACAGCTTCCTTGATTGCCGTTTTCTTGGCCACAATATTAGCGATGGTTGATTGGGGTTTTGTGTACAACCTGGCCAGCTCGGAGACACGCACTCCACTTTCATACTTAGCAATTATCTCTTTCTTCATATCCATAGTAATTCTCACCCTTTTTGCTGTAGGGTTGGCACTAGAAGCTTTCTTGGGGCCCATGGTGACTTATTTTGCAGGTACAATCACTAAAAAACACTGTGATAATATGAAAAATATTATGGAAAAAAGACTTAATAATTGCATCTATTAAAGTAAAGAAAGAGTCATACATAAACGAGCGTCTTACCAAAAAACGTCAGAACAAGTGCAACCATAATAGACCACATATGGACCAATATACTAGCCCCCCTTAAATCAGGGATAATCACAGGCAGCACTACTGACTACTACCCAACCTTTCTCTTAACAAACATTAATAAGCCACCACTTGAATACAACAAAGTTTCATTTAGACACCATGACGAGGCCTCAATAAGGAATTTCACAGCAGACCTAGAGACTGTTGACTGGCCTACTGAATTCTCCAATGCCAATGGTATTGACGATTGGACAGACATTTTTCTTAACAAACTACTTAGACTATACAACAAACATTGTCCTATAAAAACGAAACAGATCACGAATAAATGGCTTGGTTGCCCATGGCTAACCAGCAGCATTCTGAAATCCATTGATAAGAAACACCAATATGAAAAGCAATATAGAGAGGGCTTAATACACAAAGATAATCTTAAACAATATTCAACAGTTCTCACCAAATTAACCCGTAAACGGTCCAAGCAGATCTACGTTCACATGTGTAGTGTTACAAAACTAGATCTAAGTTTTTTTTTAAATATTTTCAAATATAACAAAAAAAAAGTAGATCAAAGTTCTTTTTACACATTTTCAAATGTAGAAAAACAAAAAGATGATCTACTTTTTTGACATATACTTTCAAATGTTGAAAAAACGTATATACACATTTGGACCGTTTACGAGTTAATAAAGAAAGCCAAACAACTGTACTACTCCAGCAGATTCACTGTGTGAGTGTGGTGAAAGTGTTGAATGATAATGAAAGTATTTTCTTTTGGGGGATTTTCTTTCTTTTTTGGGTCACCCTGCCTCGGTGGGAGACGGCCGACTTGTTGAAAAAAAAAAAAAATTATAAATAACAATAACAATCATCATCAATACCAATGCATTACCACCCACCTGGATAATTCGTGTAGGAATATCTGGGTAGTGGGTGAGAAAGGCCTCAGCATGGTCACATAACAAAAGCAGCAGATCAGCGGCTACTTGCCCAACTAATCGTCCAATCTGAAGGGGTGAAAAAACTTTGTCTAAATATTTAATTACCAACATAGTACAATCATTCAACACTTTCACAATCATTCATGCATAATCACTGTCTTTGCAGAGGCATGCAGATATGATAGTTCAGATTTCACTCCAAATAGCAAATATCCCAACCCCCTTCTTTAAAGTACATGCTTTGTACTTCTCACCTCCAGGACTCAAGTCCAGCTAACAAGTTTCCCTGAATCCATTCACAAAATATTATTTTATATTCACACTATATTAAAAAATAAATGTCTTTATTTCTCCCTTTCTTCTTTCTCTTACCCCTTATTCACTCATTCACTCTATAACCCTTTCCTCTTAATATGTATATAATAATACTGCTCTGAATACTGCACATAATTCATTTGTGTGTATTCTTGACTAAAATAGAGCTATTTAAAAATACTTATGGATAAACTAGACAACTTAAAAATATCTAAAAGCTTTCAAGCAACTCAAACAGTCCATACTTACTAAAGCAAACTCAAAGAATATACAGTAGTGCAACACTAACATACAGTAGTGCAACACTAACATACAGTAGCGCAACACTAACATACAGTAGTGAAACACTAACATACAGTAGTGAAACACTAACATACAGTAGACATCATACAAATGCACAGACAAGTTTGCCTTTACCACACTATTTGCTCACAGTTTAGAGAAGTGCCAAGGCAATTTTTGTATGCAAGTGTCAAAGACATAAGCAACTGACTAAATGATTGTGATATATCATTCTTTAACTCGTAAATGGTCCAAATGAATATATATGTTTTTTCAACATTTGAAAGTATGTAAAAAAAGTAGATCTTTTTTGTTTTTTACATTTGAAAATGTGTAAAAAACTTTCATCTACTTTTTTTTTGTCATATTTGAAAATATGTAAAAAAAAAAAAACATAGATCTACTTTTGGAGCACTATGCATATGAATGTAGATCTGCTTGGACCGTTTACGGGTTAATGATTGGCCTGGTAACTCATTAACTTTAAGTCTGACAGAGAACACGTGAACCTTATTAAGTGAAAGCTTCATGGCACAGTTGCGACTATAACGCCTAAACTCTCGAGAGCCACTAAGCAGGTGTGGAAAGGTAATGACTTTTGTAATAGCTATTAGGACAATATCAGCCCACTCCCATCTGCGAGTAGTGGAGAAGTTTACCTAGTGAAGCCCTGAAGAATGTGTGTTAATCACTTCCTAGATAGTTGATGAGTGTCCTAAAGCACACAGGATGACCTATTTTGTGGTCATGGTTTTAGAGGGAGACAGCATACTTTAATGACTAGCATTGTACATAGGACTGATATCAGCAGTGTGTACCCATAGAGATCCAGTATTGTATTCAATTAGGGTATTCGTTTTGTTAATACTGAGGAATTTTTTTTAGCATGATTTGCATTAGAATATATACAGATGTAGTAATAAAGCTTTCAGGTGATATACACATTAAATAAAAGGTTTACTTCATGGTCAATATAATAACACTGGACAAAAAAAAAATACGTTCGGTTTGCTACTGAGATAAATGTTGGTGTTCTTAAGTAATATGAACATGCTGATTCCAAATTTGAAATCAAAATTGAACTAGCACATCAGGATTTTTAGTTATTGGAAAACATGCAAGTTCAAGAATTATTTTATTTAATAAATCATGTTTCATCCAAATTTATAGCAGAGGAAATATAAAGTCATTAAAAGCTGTTAAAAAATGCTTCAGGACATTAAGGAACATATTCTTATTGGAAGTAGAAAATACAGTGGACCCCCGGCATTCGATGGCATTGGTATACGTTAAATCCGGTATTCGATACATTTTAACGCAAAAATTTTGCCTTGCCACTCGTTAAAAAACCCGCCACACGCAATTCGTCCGGGATGCTTCCACATGTGGCCTGAACTGCCCCGTGCGTGCCAGTGTTTACAAGCCAGCCAGTATGCTCGCATCTAAGCATACATTCGGTACATTCCATATTATCACAGTGTATTTGGTGTTTGTTTCTGCAAAGTAAGTCACCATGGGCCCCAAGAAAGCTTCTAGTGCCAACCCTTCGAGAAAAAGGGTGCTAATGGCTATTGAAATGAAGAAAGAGATAATTGCAAAGTACGAAAGTGGAGTGCGTGTGTCGGAGCTGGCCAGGTCGTATACAAAACCCCAATCAACCATCGCTACTCTAGTGGCCAGGAAAACGGTAATCAAGGAAGCTGTTTTTACAAAAGGTGCAACTTTGTTTTCGAAACAGAGATCGCAAGTGTTAGAAGATGTTGAGAGACTATTATTGGTGTGGATAAATGAAAAACAGATAGCAGGAGATAGCATCTCTCAAGTGATATGTGAAAAGGCTAGGAAGTTGCATGAGGATTTAATTGAAAAAATGCCTGCAACTAGTGGTAATGTGAGTGAATTTAAGGCCAGCAAAGGTTGGTTTGAAAGATTTAAGAATCGTAGTGGCATACATAGTGTGATTAGGCATGGTGAGGCTGCCAGTTCGGACCAAAAAGCAGCTGAAAAATATGTGAAGGAATTCAAGGATTACATGGACAGTGAAGAATTTAAACCTGAACAAGTGTTTAATTGTGACGAAACAGGCCTGTTTTGGAAGAAATTGCCAAGCAGGACCTACATTACTCAGGAGGAAAAGGCACTCCCAGGGCATAAGCCTATGAAAGACAGACTTACTCCTGATGTGTGCCAATGCTAGTGGTGATTGCAAAGTGAAGCCTTTATTGGTGTATCACTCAGAAACTCCCAGAGCGTTCAGGCAAAAGAATGTCCTCAGGGCTAATTTGTGTGTGCTGTGGAGGGCAAACAGTAAGGCATGGGTCACTAGGGACTTTTTCAATGACTGGTTACACCATGCATTTGCCCCCAATGTGAAAAGTTACCTAACTGAAAATAAATTAGACCTTAAGCACCTCCTGGTATTAGACACTGCCCCTGGTCATCCTACAGACTTGGCAGAGTGACTGTCTGGGGACATGAGCTTCATTAACCCTTTGAGGGTCGACAGGCCCTCTCCGAAACTCGTTCTCAGGGTCGGCCAAATTTAAAAAAAAAAAAAAAATTATTTTTTCTTATGAAAAGATAGAGAATCTTTTCCCGATCATAAAGACACCAAAAGTTTGAAATTTGATAGAAAACTTACGGAATTATGCTCTCGCAAAGTTAGCGGTCTCGGCGATGTTTACGCATCGGCGATTTTGCCCACTTTGAGCCCCATTTTCGGCCAATTTCACTGTACTAGTCGACACAAAACATGAATATTTCGCTAGAACTCCATTTTTCTATCGAATGGGTGCAAGAAACCACTCATTTATGAAATTCAACTATCCAGTACAGTGGTCAGAATTTAGCAATTTTGCCAATTTCACACAAATTTCAAGATGCCAATTTCCGAATAGGGTCCAGAATAAACAAGAAAGACATTCCTGGCACTAAAATGACATTTCCTCTAGTCATTATTCACGTCTCGAGGCCCCTCTTATATTCTTTTGCTTTCCACTTTGAATTTTTATTTTCACAAAAAATATAAGATTTAAGTTATGCAGACTACTGCATTAGTGTAAAAAATGGTATAAATATTATTGGTGCACTTGTGAAAGAATATTAGACTCACCAGTGACGTGTATTGCACGCTTGGCACGATTTGTTTACTTTGAAGTTTGGTAAAATCGAACATTTCTGCTACTTTGAGCTCATTTCAAGGCACCTTTCTTTGTAAAACCAGTCAAAATCATCTCTATTTCTGTAATATGTCTCCATTCTATAAAATGAGACCAAGAAAACTAGAATACAACAATAAATACCATACGAAAATACACTGCAAAGTCGCTGATTTATTAAAAAAAAATGGTCAAAGTTTTTTTTTTCTCATTATGCACTGTGTGCTGCAGGATTTTTTTTAGACTGTGCACACTGACCACATAGACCCATTCTTTCATATGAAGGCCTACCAGCTTTCTCCCACTAGATTTGAGGCCGCTAGAATTTATGAGTACTAGTACGTCAAAAACCCCTACGCGTAAGACGTACTAGTACGACGAAAACCCTCAAAGGGTTAAGGTCAAGTTTTCGCCTTCTAATACCACTCCTCTCCTGCAGCCCATGGACCATCAGGTCATTACCAACTTCAAGAAACTGTACACAAAAGCTATGTTTCAAAAGTGCTTTGAAGTGACCAGAGACACAAGATTGACTCTAAAAGAGTTTTGAAAGGATCACTTTAATATCCTCAATTGTGTAAACCTTATAGGTAAGGCTTGGGAGGGAGTGACTAAGAGGACCTTGAACTCTGCTTGGAAGAAACTGTGCCCAGAATGTGTAGACAAAAGGGATTTTGAAGGGTTTGAGGCTAACCCTGGGAATCCTATGCCACTTGAGGAATCCATTGTGGCATTGGGGAAGTCCTTGGGGTTGGAGGTTAGTGAGGAAGATGTGGAAGAGTTGGTGGAGAAGGACAATGACGAACTAACCACTGATGAGATGCTAGATCATCTTCAACAGCAAGAGGTCAGACCTGAGGAAACTGCTTTAGAGGAGGGGATAGAGAAATTGAAGAAGTTGCCTACTTCACAGATTAAAGAAATGTGTACAATGTGGACAAAGGTGAAAACCTTTATGGATGACAATCACCCTCACACAGCTATTGCAAGCTGTGCTGGTGACTATTACAATGACTATTACAAGAACATCTTCAACAGCAAGAGGCCAGACCTGAGGAAACTGCTTCGGAGGAGATTGAGAAATTGAGGAAGTTGCCTACTTCAAAAATCAAGGAAATGTGTGCAAAGTGGCTTGAAGTGCAAACCTTTTTTGATGAAAATCACCCTCACACAGCTATTGCAAGCCGTGCTGTTGACTATTACACTGACAATGTTGTGAACCATTTTAGAAAAGTCATAAAGGAACGAGAGGTACAGGCCTCTATGGACAGATATGTTGTGACAGAAGTCCAGTGACTCTCAAGCTGGTCC